CAGATACATTGATCCTTTTTGTTCATAACCGAAGTGTATTTGCGTGTTTTACTTGAAATAAACCTTAAAACTAGCTGGCACTGAACGTTTCGTTTTCCTTTCCATTGGATGTTTGGGCTCAAGATTGAACTTTCTCATCACCAGGTTTTGTAAATGCGTTAACTTTACCTAAGGTCACCCGGATAAACCACCAACTACCACATTATCTGCGAATTGAGCGGCAGAAAATTTATTGGTGAGCTTCTAGCAGAGTGGGGAAAGTCGCGCTCAAGTTAATAGCGAAATTAAACTAATATGCTTGCAGTTCTTTTTTTCAATAATAACATACACCTTTCAGTAAGTTATTCAAATACTAATTTACGTAAGGTAAAATAATTTTAGTAAAAAGCTTATAGTAACTTTAGAAACAGCGTTTGCAATATGGACTGAACCTTCAACAATGTCTTGATTCCTTTCAATACGAAGCCAAGAAATATTCATGAAAGGAATCTGATTGAAATGATCACTGAACACATGATACATTTCAGAAAGAAATTATTCACAGGAAAATTCGATCAAATAATAAGCTTTAAAGCTAAAACCTCGTTTGGAGGAACCAGCTGAAATTTAACGCCCTGCGTGAATAAAACCTGACTGTCCTCCCCAAAATTTCACAGCCACAGTTCGTTTGAGTCGTTACTGCCACCTTTTCAGAACTTCTGACGTTCTTCCAAATTCAGAAGATCTTCGAAAAGACTGTCGTCCACCATAACTTTCACGTCTTTCACGAAAACCGCCTGTCTTTGCACCAAATCTTCGATCCATTTCACCGTAACTGCGAATCGACCTCGTATCTCTCGTGTCACTGCGTTGCGGTCTTTGCCTCAACTCTGGCAGTTCGGATATTTTCTCTACAGCAGAAATTCTCCTTTCCTTAAGAAGATTTTCAACCTAAGCGTAAAAAAAGAAATTATCTCATATAAATAAGGTAAGAGGATTGCAAAGGGGGATCCTGTTTCACGCACAAAGTTCAGAAAAATTCACGCTTCACAAATACTTAAAACTGCATTTCACGCGTCGTAGATTAAAAAAGGGAAAACTTCAAATTTCTCATCTTGTGTACAAGATTTCAAGGAAAGGTTTCTTAAGATTTTTCCAAAACGAAAGATAAATCAGTTTATTCTATTTCGTTTCCCAATATTTCCTTTTGATTGAATTTCATTAAAAAAAAAAAAGCGTCTCGATCTTGATAGTAAATACGGCAAAAAAGAGATTCCATATTGTTGTGCGTCTGTTTGCCAATAGATCACGGATAACGTCAAAAAGTGCCAAAGTACAAAGCGCAGCCGCATTTTCACGTCTTCTGTGATCTATTACTGTACAGACCCACAACAACACAGAATCTGTTTGTTGATATGATAAAAACACGGAACAATTGTCAATGGTGACGCCATCTTTGCGTCTGTCCTCCATTCGATCATAAATGCGAATCAATCGAAATGCGTGCGTAGTTCAGCTTCTTATATAACATTCTCAAGATCACAAGCGACGAAGTCATTAGCAGTATGGATATTCTGCTTCCCATTCTGTTGGTGTGATTTTCATTACACCGTAATCGTAGCTCTATGCATCTGAAAACGGATTTGACTCTGATTCCTTCGCTTGAGAAAACCAGGCTTTGAGTGATGAGGCACGATCAATTATTCCCAACTTACCCCCATTAAATCTTCGAGATGATCAGGCACATCCATTACCACACCCTGTCGAGTACACGGCAAATACAATACTTCAGTGAAATTCGTGGAAAAAAAGAATTACAAAATGTCGATATCCCCCCCCCCCCCCCCCCCCCACGAAAAAAAACACAATAAAGCAATAATGCACCACGTACTTTGTATTAACTAGCTTCGTATGATTCGAGAGTAACCGCAAAGCTCGGATAGCAATTATCAAATACAGAGGAGAGTATGTCAGTTAAGGGTATTATGCAGAAGAGATTAATTTGTTAAAAAAACCCCCCGTCATCGTCCTTATATTCAGCGAGGCTTCTAAAGATAAAAAAGAAATACAATTTCCAGGCAGAGAAAGCAAAACCAATTCTGAAAATGTTTTTTTATCCCTCAGTTATTTCTACCGCTTTGATAACTATGGAATTGGAGTGGGTACAAAAATTCTTCTGTGTAACTATATTTTCGGAAAAACATCAAGTCAGACTGGGGTCCAACAAATTTTATCACATGGGGCGGTTCATTCAACGAGATCGAGCGAAAATAGACCTTACTCGCCTTGTTATCTTACTGTTTCGTAGGAGACCATTTAACGGTACTCTAGGGATTACAATCTAAACACATTACTCAAATTCACGCCTGGATTCAGCCTTCAAATTTAAGGGAAGGAATAAGACCTCCCGAGGATTTAACGCGATCTGTACCGGACAATTGGTATTTAGCTCAAATAAGGTTTATCAACCTTTGGACCCCTGAGAGTGACTTGCATCTAACTTCTCATTACAATATCACTCATGAATCAAAGGTCAAGGTAGGAGAATAAAGGAACTGATCAGCAAACAAAGAAGCTCTTGATTGTTCAACAAATTCTCCCTGTCAGCACCTTGCGAAATGTATCGAGAATAGTATGAAGAATATATAAACTGATGCTGGGTCGTAACGGGTTTAATAAGCATGTAGAGTACATCGGCTAAAATAAACAATCACAGCGCACGTGATTATTGAGAGATACGACAAGCCAAGTGATGTAACACAAATCAAATGCTCCTTACCATACTGTCCTGACAGAGTCTCATGTTGCGCACATGTCTTTTTATCTCTGGGAACGTTTCCAGTGCCTTCCATATGAAGCCTGTTCCAGACATCTCCAAACGAGATTTCAATAAGTAGGTGATGAAACCCTGGGACACGAAACGAAAACAAATCGAAACAAAAGAAAAAAAGCAACGACCAGGATTGAGTTATATGAAACTTCTATCACTCTCCTCACGATCTCACTACACTAAATGGGTGACACGAATAGCTTAAAATAACTTCTCGGCTAAATAGTGTTATCTTGATTAGTGAGCGCTCTAGGAAAGAAGTATCAATCAGAGTTTTGGGAGTTAAGAAGGCTCTGAAGCCTAATTATTTTCTGAACAATTTAACATCAATACTTTGACTAAAATCCATCACAAACTTTTCAGTGACTGCACACGATTGGTCTAAATGTGTCACGTGACTGGATATTACCAGACTTGTATCGTAAGGTGGCGCGAGTTTTCACGACCAATCTTGGAGGACTCTTCAATTCAAGTGAAATAGCTTGACGCTCTACAAAGCTGCATTGTAATGTGATGGTTTGAGGGTGGCTATTCCTGAAGAGAACCTCCATCTTGACTGGCGTTTCTTCAACCCGTGCGGAAGTCATCATCACATTCAGCGCCATCTGGGATAATGCCTTCCCACATATTGTTGAATCGCCAGTCAATGTCGGCCTTAACGGGGTGGAAATAGTCCTTGTAGGACAAATCAACTCTCACTACCGGCTTAATAACATTTACTGCACAAAACACACCTCTTCGCCTGTTATGAGAGAACGCGATTTGATCTCTTTCGTGTTGGAGATGTGCGCCAGTGCAGCTGCTAATGCTTCAACAGCTCCAAGTTTTTCCACCAGCGCTTGAGCAAAATCTCGGAACTTCTCCACCACATCAGGAGAAATTTCTTCAATAAACCTGGCGAAGAGAATGATGATCGCATCAAACGTATAAAAAGTAATTCTCTCAGCTAGATAATCGTAGCATGAAAAAAAGACCGAGGCCTGAAGGGTAGACAAACCACATCGATGCAAACGAGTTCGAGCACAGACCGGATACACAGTACATATTCAGCCATCAAACAATCAGGGTCAGAAGTAAAAAGACCTGAGGAATTATGGGGAGACAAAAGGTGGAGGGGGACGGGTGGGTGGAAAGATTATGTGCTTTGAAGTAGAACCCGTTCAAGAAAAAAACGGCTATACCCAGAGTGATACTCGTTTTCCCCTCATGCTATGGAAACCGGGGCAACTGCTGACGGAAATCTTACCCTTATGTATCTTAAGGGGTGTCTTTAGGATTCAAAAAAGTATGTTCTTACCTTTCTGCATCTGAAGCAGACGCCTTAATGATATCGTCTGCTGATGGAGGTGTAATGCGCTTAAATTTGATTCCCTGAAATAAATAGATTAACTTGTCAATGTATCAATAAATAAATGACTATACAAAACATGAAGGTAAAAAAGTTTGAACCAAATAGGTGATTAATCAATCCCCGTGACAAACAATAATATCCATACAGCGTGTATTAACCCCTTAATTAACAAATAGAGAAGCCTTGACTGTGCTCTCTTCTGTTGTAAAGCACGCAGGAAGCGGCAAGAGCACGAAAGAAGTGTAGGGGGAAACACGAGACGTAGTCGAGTGTTTCTCCCTACTTCTTGAGTGCTCTAGCCGCTTCCTAAGTGCGTTACAACAGAACAGAGCACAGTCAAGGCTTCTCTATTTGTTTTATAATAAAGAATCCGTTAAATTCCCCAAGAATTACTTTCAATTTTCAAAACAAATCTTATTTCCAAAGCGAACAACAGTGTCGTCAGCATGCTCTATACTCTCATAAAGCACGCTACAATAAGCCAATCAGAATTCCTGTTAAATAATTCCTCCCAAATAATCTGATTGGCTGTACAAGACTAAAGCTGTCAAAAATGTCAAACCATCAAAGTTCATAAACCATCAAAGTTCATATTCTGCAATAGTTTACAAACTAAAATAGCTCGGCATGTCGAATTTAACACTTTTGCCTGAAGTTTTTTAGTTTCTAATACAGGATCTGAAAGTGAAATGTTCAGTGAAATTCGGCCCAATCGTGGCTCACAAAAATACGCAAGTTATTTCACATTACAAGTAGAAAACAATCTGTTCAAGGCGAGTGTATTATGAATGAACAACAGCCGAATTCACCAAGACAAAAAGATCGCTCGGAATGACAGCGCCGTAAAACTCGGTTGCAGTGACTGATCTGGCCTTCCACTCAACGCATCGGAAAGGTAATCAGGACAAGCTCTTATTTTTTCACTCGAAGGGTAGTCGATTTAGTTCCTGAGGCTTGCTCCACTGCGATGACCGAAGATCGCCATGATTAGCTAGCCGCGATAGACCTTAAGTCATTGACACCGTCATGATTAGTATGAATTTTAACAGTTATGCCAGGTTATATTTTTCACAATTCCTGTTTTTTTCTAGTTGAAATCGAAACTCTATATACTACACAAGTGTTAGCTGTGTTTGATTTTTATTACCGTAAGTAAACTCGCAATCTAACTGAACGTGAAAACCGTTAAAAAAACTCGGACTGTCTATCTTGTTTTATCTTTGAGGATTTTTGTCTCTGCTCACGTTACAGTAACGTAAATTACTGCGCCTGGCATTTTTGCAAACCTTTGCTTGCTTGTTCCGAAATTTCACTTTTATTAACGAAAGAAAAGCTAGAAAGAAGTTCCGGAAAAGGTCGGACATAGTACGATTTGGCAGATGGCGTGACACCTTTAGCTCAGTTCTATGCTCTATACTCTCAGAGAGCACGCTCTTTCAACCAATGACAGTACGTGTTATATCCGAGCTTTATTATAACTCCTATTAGTGACCAAGACCGAACATCTCCTTACAATATCAATACAGTATCACGCAAAAGAGTGATGAGAACAGGGAAAGTATCAATTACGGAATTATCAGTTGATCCAACTCCAAATTCTTGGAGCTAACGTCATAAGAATTGTATGGAAGTCAGTAAGGAGAATCGCTGATGAGATCTTAGGAGTAAAAGGGTTCAGGACCAGTCATTGATCATCGCCTGAGGATGGGGAGGTTGGAGTATTTTGGATGTAGCACGATCAAATTTACCTAATCCCCCTATAAGGTTCTGTACCATTCTCATGGTACCCCCCTCCCCCTTCAATGGCAGTCAACTAGCAGTCAATTTTCTATATTATTTTTCTGTATACGACCGATCCTTCCTCAGTTCCCCTTAAAACCACGTGATCCCCCTAATTATCCACAGTCCCCCTTCACACACTGTTGGCGACGACTGATCTCCCCTCTATTCCCCCTAAAAACTACGTGATCCCCCAAAATCCTCCAGCCCCCTTGACTGATCCCTAAAAATAACATACGTAACATTAAAAGGATCTGAATAATTAACACTTTAGACTGAACTACACAACATCAACACACAGCGTTATTTCTTATGCGTTATAAAATGATATCTGGTGAAATCTTAATTGAATACAAAGTACGGGTTAATTTTTCAAGATTACAAATTGTTTAGTCTCTTGAAAATTCACTCGTTTATATCCACTCCAAATTGTACTCGTACTCATTTGATAACCCAAGAAAAAATAATGTTTAGATCTGCTGTTTGAACCCCATGCCGCAGAAAAAAAAGGAAAAAAAAACTTGTCATTGCAAAATCACAAATTTGCGAAGTAGCAATCCTGAAAACTCTTTATGTCACACTGCAAGCGACTCAAAGCTGCTTAAAAGAGGATCATGCTATTGAATGTGCCCAAAACTAAATAATCAATAACCTCAACGATGCACTTACAGTACTTTTCTCCACTGCACGCAACTGCGCCTGCTGACCTGGACCGTGAATTACAACGCTTACTCCATTACGGCCAGCCCTGCCCGTTCTTCCTGAACGATGGATGTACATGTCAAGATCCTGAAGAGACACAAAAATTAACCCTTTAATTCCCAAGATCTGAATGTAAATTCTCCCCTCGCGCTACTCCACTTTTTCTTGTAAATCAGTCACAAGGATTTAGTGTTAGATCAAGATAACAACTTCTACCTGATAAGTTTGATTATCCTAAGTCACAGTTTGCTGGATTATGTGTGGATATTACAGGGAGAAGTTACATGTTAATCAATTCTGAGAGTTCAAGGATTTATATGCAACTTCTTTGTAATCATAAAAGCTAGTTGAGAATGAAAGGCATAAATGTGGTTTTTCTAAATAAAACGGGATGCAAATGACGACGGAAAAAGACAAAACGGAAAGAAAAAGTAATTTTGGTGCGTCGATGGATCTCGTAATTGCTAAGTGCGTCATGAATGGTACCTTTGGCGGGCCGTAAATTTAAAACTAGGTTTGTCTCCACCAAATAGATATTTATCTTCAATTTTTCCTACCCTTGGTGGCTAAATACGAGTTTGTTATCTTCAAATTGCGTGTTATAACCTGCTAATGACTGAATTACGCTTTCGACGGAATTGACTTGCCTAAAGAGAGCTTAATGAATGGCAGTTAGAAAGCTGGACTAAAGGAGCCAGAAAATAATGTAGAGATTGTCCTTTCATACTCACCTTTGGTGGTTGCGTTAGAACAACCAGGTCCACTTCAGGGATATCCAGACCTCTTGCTGCAACATCTGTGGCTACAAGACATCGAACCTTTCCCTCGCGAAAACTCTAATAACAAACAGTTCGTTGGGAAAAAAAATCAGTGTTTTGGCAAAATGAATAGAGAAATTTTAACCCTTTACACCATAAGATCAGTATGAATATTCTCCATTCTGTTTTCTATACTCTTCCTAAGATGCTGACAAGGAGATTTTGGTTAACAATCAAGACCTCCTGTACTTGTTGACCATTTCCAATATTCTCATGACCTTAATGTTTGATTTAGGGGTGATACTATAGGGAGA